TTAAAAAGTTAAGTTTAATTGTATTACAAATTTTAAAAAAATATTTGATAATAAAAAATAACAATAATTAAAATTGTATACTTGTGACCACCTATGTGTTAAAGAATGTAACAAGGTTAGAAACTGGGAACGTATTGTAAATCATAAAACTGGTTGTGTAGTGCACTATATCTAAAGATATCACTTTACGCTTGCAGTGGTTCAAGAAAGCCAGTTCATAGCAAAAATGTTAAAAATGTTCGTTATATTTGCCATATTGACTATGGTGGCGGCGATTCCAGGAAGAATAGATCCTTCTTTAATCGATATACATATTGAAGATGGGGAATTTCTGCCAAATATTGTAAACCTTTTCAAATCCAGACTGCACAGAGAAACAAATGCGTATTTACTACGCGAGCAGGATTTTATATTTCCAGAAAGTTTTATGGATGATACAATTCCATTGTTTGCGCAATCTCCAATTTTGCACAACTGCCAGCCGAATTGTTAATAATGCTTACTGAAATGTATGTAGACTGCATAAATAAATAATTAAAAATTATATTTTGTCGTTAATTACACTATGATAGTTTTTGAAACTGTTTTTTCCTAACATTGAGTACTCCAGCTTAGTTTAACTAATTTTAAAATGTCATTTGTTTTTCTCTAAGACGTCTAGAATTTATTATTTAGTAATAAAATGCTCTGCTCAATCACCTCAAAATGTAATTTTTTTTGTTAGTGTTTTAATTATTTATTAAATTATTTTGGCTTAAATTTATCTTTACTGAAGTAATTGGTATACGTCAAATAGATCATATTTAACTTAACAATATGACATTTTAAATACTAAAACTAAAATTTTAATATATTTTATGTAAAAAACAACCATTATTTGACATTTTTTGTCCTTTATTTTAATTATTGAATTGAAAAGGCAACAAAGTAAACAAGTTTTATCCAAATTAAGCCCACAAAATGTAATGCATTGCATAATTTTGATTTTGTATACCTTAAATTTATTAAATTGTATCAAATATCAAATTGAATTATGGTATTATTGTGCTTAATTATCATCATCGTCGTACATCTTTTGCTGCAAATTCCAGCAAATGTCTCCTAGCAATGAATCCAACTTCTTTTCGCTATACCCATAGATATCTACCAATGCTCTAGATTTGCAGTTACTTGGTGAAATCCTTCTCCATGTTCATCAGTTCGGCAAATTTATCAGGATAAAAATAAAGAAAATGTATTTTAAATGACATATTAACACTAATTTTTTAAAAAGCGGAGAGCATTTTTTTAATTAATTGGCGCCAATTTTAGGCCCGATATGAACTAAGAACATTTTTAATGATAGCTTTAACACTGTCATAATATGGAACAAGCTCGTCAACTTTGAGAGCATTTTTGAATGCTTGATCTTGTCCATTTAATATTCATGCAAGATTAAAGTAAACATAAAATTTTGTAATAAAATATTGCGCTGGTTTTTCTTGGGCGTAAAAAGACCGCAACAAAAACAAAACAAATTTACAACGACGACATAAAGGTTCGTCTCCTTTCTCTTTCTCTGCCACTTTCATTACCACTTACATTTCCTGCTCTTTTTTATTTTTGGTTCATAAAATCACTTTCCAGTAAAAATACAATTTAAAGTTTAAATTTAAAAAGATGCCCTTTAATGTGCTTGAATGATAAAGTAGATAAAGGCGACTTTATACTTTAATTCGATATTAATTTTGATAAGACTTAATAAATAAGATTGGAGATTGAATTTTTGGATACTTTAGACATGATATCAAATATTATTCGAAGAGTAATGTTTATACCGAAACCCATTTTCTTTGTTGCCTTTTCAATTTAATTAGTACTTAAAAGAACGACACAAACATTTCAAAAAATATATAATTTTTTACCAAAAAAAAACATTATAATTTTAGTTTTAATATTTAATAAAGCACTTCTCTGCAGAAAAGTGCTTTATTAAATATCCCTTATATAATACTACTATAGTATACGGCTACAATGGAACAAAACAATAGTATATTACACTACAAGGGCAGAAAGTGTGAGATTCCTGCACTGCGCGCCATGATGCCCGATATAGGATATATATCATAGGGTCCCTAGATGTTAAAAGTCAGAGATGATGATACCAACTCTTTTAAATATATTGCAGTATTATACTGCAATATACAAATGCGTTAATGTTCGTATTAGCCTTAATATTGTGATGGTTATGAAGACCATGATCCTGGCAGCAGAAACACTCTGGCTACGCTCCTAAATACTGAAATAAATAAATAATTTCATCAGAAATAAATTAAGCAAAACCTTATCCAAAATTGTTTATTTAATTGTTCGACCTTCATTTCCAAATATTTTTATAAATAATGCAAAATAAAATTGCCTTCCAAAAATTCTAACCTTAAATAAGAATATTGTAGTATTTTTCGCGGTCTTGACCGTAGCAATTGCATTCTGCTCCCCTTATCACTGCCTAATCTGCTTTTCCCCTTTCCGCTCCTATCTATCCCCTTTCCGCTCCAAGCTTGTGATTTTTGTAATTTTTTTTTTGTAAATAAAATATAATTTTATAAAATAACATTTTAATATTATAATATTAATTTTCTACAAGATTGCGTATTTAAATTAATAAAATTAGACCATTGTCTCTAAAACATATGACTCCTGTAGAATTAAAACCAGACATTTCCTCTGCCTTGCTAAGCAAAGGGTAGTAACTACAGTAGTATCAGTTGTACTGTACTAAAGTAACTGTACTCATATGTATATTTCCGGTTACTTTGATTTCAATAATTATAAAGTAAGTTTTTACTGGTACACAATGTAGGTGCTGGCTGGCTGGCTTGGAGAAGAATTAATAGATGAACAGACGTTGCGGAAATTGATGGAGCTTCCATTTTCGATTCTGTCGAAAGTGGTGTGGAAACGATTTTGTTTTCTGTAATTGTTGAACTATAAATTAGAAGACAATTTCCCTTCAGCTGCACAAAAAACAAACAAATCTATAAATTTAAACATGTTTTTGAAATTTTTTTTTTTGATGAAAGTATTAAACGGTATTATATATTTGTTTTGCATATTAAAATAGGTAATTAAAATATTTTTTAAAATTTAAATAACATTTTATCAGATTTATATTACAAACTGATAATTTAAATATTGATAACAAAATATTAAAAAACCGATGAAGGTGATCTTTAATTTAAATTAAAAAATAAAAGTGTCTTTGCTTTTGTTTTATTTTTATATAAAGATGTACAACATAAAAACAAATGTCCCTTAACATTTCTAGCCTATAAAGGTTGAACCAAAATAGCAACTAGGTAAATAAAAATTAAAAGAGTTAATGTAAATTTTAAAATAATTAAAAACAAATAATTTATTGCATCAGAAAAAAGTTAAGCAAAATTGTTATTTATGGTCGAATCTCCATTTACAAAAATGACGCAAAGTAAAATTAAGTTTCAAAAATCTTATATGGAAAAACCACCTATAAAAGAAAAGATCGGTATTTGAATTGTATCAGTTTGCGTTATAACTTGGCGAGAACGCCCTATGCTCAGTTGACGTAATTTCGTAATGGTACCGCCCGTCAAGTCCAGTTTAACACGTGTTTGGCAAAGCAGTCGCTTGTATTCAATATTTACTTTTAAATTTTTTTGGCTATTCGTCAATTTTAGTAAACAAGTGCCAACGGCTACGCCCACATGCGTCGAGCTTCGCCAAGTTATAACGTGCGGCCTGTACAGTACTTATATAGTTAAAATAAAAATAAAAACCTTAAAGGGTTAATTTATTTTACTTTCTTTCAATAAATATACAATATATAATATAATACATCTGGAACTTTTATTAAGATATAATAAGGTTTTGACATATTTTTTATTTTAAAAAACCTTAACGCCAGGTTTTATAGGTACCATTTTTTGAAAGCATTTAATTAAAATATTTCATTAGGATTTTTAGGTTAGGTTCAATTTGTCAATGACTATGCCACTCATTACTTTATGGACCAATCAGATTTCAGAAAACGAGTGGTTTTTTCAGTTTTGCAGCGATAAATCTACTATTTAGGTGACTATTTCCCTAGTCTTAATTTCCACCAATCACAAACGCGCAATTTTGAATTACAAATGGTTTCTAGGTGAAAAAACTGTGTGACAGCACCTGTCAGCAGTTTACCCGCTGCAAAACTTGGCAGCTGTTGTCACCAAAAATTGCATTTTATATTTTAATTGTTAACTGTTACTCATGAAATAGTCTTGTCAAATACCATTCGGGCATCTAATTTTTCCTGTGAAAAAAATCGAAAAAACACAATCTAAGACAAATAAATATTATATTACAAAAAAATTTTAATTATTTATTTGTGTCCAATTTCCATATACAAAATGATGCAAAATAAAATTGCCTTGAAAAATGTTAAACGGGAAAACCACCTATAAAATAGAAGAATTGTATCTGAATTTTTTCCTAACAAAAACAATCAAACAACAAACATGTATACATTCGTAGTAACTACAGTTACTAGTACTACTGTAGTAATTACCATACAGTAACTGTACTTATATACATAATATGTATTACATATTTGACGCGTTTCGAGAAAAGGGAACTATAGTTTCCTATAGTATCCAAAATTAAGTTTTATAGGAGAAGCGATTAAATCTCTACTTCAAAAATTAATAGCAATTTAATTTTTTTAGATAAACAAATTCTATCTGGACCTTTTAAAAGCTAGTTTACCACTCTACTTAAAATAATGATAATCTCGAAAATCAATTTTAGGACACTAGGTCCCCTTTCTCGAATCGCGTCACTGAATTTTAATAACAACCATAAAAATAAATAAAAGGGTTAATTTAATTTTAATAAATACGCAATACATCTGGAATGTTTACAACCAATTTATTAAAAAGTAATATACCAATAAACTAAGTTTTAACAAATTAATTAGTAAAAAAACATATCATTTTATTTAACAACTACCAAACTTTAACAATTTGAGGAACATCGGTAGAAATAATTGGAGTCCCAGTCAAAATTGGTGAGGAACCAAAAGTTTCAGTAGCGAGCAGAGGTTCACTGGTACACAATTTAGATTCAGTCAGCAATGGAGAAGAATTATTAGATAACAGTTTAACGGGAATTGCGGAAATTGATAGAGCTTCAATTTTTGCTTCGGCCGAAAGTGGTATGGAAACGATTGGGTTTTCTGCAATTGTTGAACTGTATAAATTAGGAGGCAATGTTCCAGGTTTAGCTACAGCCGCACAAAGAACACACAAAACTATGAATTTAAACATGCTTATAGAGATTTTTCTAATAAACTGACTAAAGTTTTATAAGGTAATATTTGTTTTGAATATTATAATAATTTAAATATGTTTATATTTAAATAATATTTCATCACATTTATATTTACAAACCTATAATTTAAATATCGATTTAGGTGATCTTTAATTTAAATAAAAAATAAGGTTGCCTATGCTTTTGTTTTATTATTTATTTATTTAATATAACTAGAGAGTGTTTGCACGCCAGACATTTTCCGATAAAACATTGCACGACAATTCTTTAGTAATAAAGGAGAAAAGATAATTTTAATTGTTAAAAATTATTTTTTGTCCTAAATATAAAAATTATAAAATTCAGACGAAGGTAGAAAACGGTAAAAAAAAGTTATTTGAGCCAAGATTTTTTAGAGCATAACTAACTTTTTCAAAATTGTGTACATTGATTTTCAAAAAGCAAAATGGTCAATTTTAAAAATACAAATATTTTGGGGTCCTCCCATTTCGCTTGTTTTTTTTTTAAATTATAGTGCTCATCTTTGAAAAAGTACCTTATGCTTTAAATACTTGGCTAAAAAAAATATATTTATATTACTACCGTAACGGTAGTACCACCTCAAATATTATAATTTTTATGTTTGTAATGGTTCTGCGGCAGTGGAAGGAATTTAAAAAAATATATATTTTTGTTACCAAAATGTTTATTGTAAACATCAGTAACTTTTCCAAAATTGGACACTTTGATTTTAAAAAAATCGGCGGATCACCGCTTATAATATGAAATATAAAAATATTTATATTTTTAAAATTGATCGGGGGCCTCTATTTAGCTTGTTATTTTTTTGAAAATCAAATTACTTTATTTTGTAAAAGTTAATTATGCTACAAAAAAAAATAAACTGTTTTACACCTTCGCCTGAATATTATAATTTTTATGTGGCTTGGGCATTGAAAGGAATTTAAAAAAAATACCAAATGTTTATTTTTACCATACTTACACAATCACATACACATACAGGGGTTTTCAATTTTCAAAATATTCATATTTCGCAATACCATAGCAAGTTTTTTATACGGCTCATAACTATAGTCTATTGACCACAGAACACCATTATTGTCATTATTGTTCGCTCGTATGTATTTTTATTAGTTTCATTGGTGTACAAGTAAAAAAAAACGAGCGAACAATAATGACAATAATGGTTTTCTTTGGTCTATAGACTATAGTTATAGATATATGATATATTTTTTTATTTATATTTATTTCGATAATAATTTTACAAGCATTACATGAACATTAAGATCCGCCTAAACATGGTTTGTGTGCGGTATCTTTTTTTAAATAAATCATACATAGCTATTATCTATTTCAATATATATATATAAATGCATATTTGAAATTTGTAGTCTCATAAAAATTAAAATAAAATTAAAATTGAAGAGAACTGAAGGAAACGTAAGATATTATGTGGTACTCTGAGATTTTATTGAAGAAGGTAAATCCTGAGGAATAATAAAAATAATAAATATATTTTTTTGTGAATTATATGATTTTATTAAAAATTGTATTTTCTATTGAGGTGTATTTTGCTACTATAAATTGTTTGATTTCTATCATGTTTCTTTTTTTATTTACTTTACCTTTTAGCTGTGGTGGGATTATATTAAAAAATTTTGGGCCATAATACAATAACGTATTTTGTGTATGTGCTTTTTTAAGCAATGGAACGGACATAGGGATATTTGCTAGTTGTCTTGTAACTTTCATAAGACCAACTTTATAAAATTTATTTTGATTATTCAACATGTACAGGGCAATTTGAAAAGCATACAGTTGTTTAATGTGTAAAATACATAACTCACTATATAATTGTTGAGTGGAGTATCTGTAATTCTTATAAAATAATATTTTTAAAATGGTGTTTTGGGCTATATTAAGGGATTGCAATGTTGTTTGATAGACTCCACCCCATATAAGTATTCCGTATCTAAGTAGGGACTCAGCTAAGGCGTTATAGATGATCTTACGTAAATTATTACTCAGTAAATCACGAACTTGAAAAAACATATGATTCAGTCTTCTGAGTCTGTTTGTTAAATATTTTATATGTTCGTCCCATTTCAGGTGCTTGTCGACGAATAAACCCAGATATTTTATACTTCTTTCTTGCTCAATAATTTCACAATTACAATTGTTATTTGCGCAGTCAGAAGTATGCATTTTTAGTGTTTTATTCTGCGGTTGGCCACAAGATGTTAATGAAAAAGTTAAATATTTTGTTTTTGAAACATTTAGACTCAGAAGACTGAAATCAAGCCATAATTTAATATTATTTATTCCAGCTTCAGCCATTCCAAAGACTTCCTCCCAACTATCACCAATAAATACAAGAGCGGTGTCATCCGCATACGAAAATATTTGGCCGTTAATTTCTACATTATATATAGAATTTATATAAATTAGAAACAAAATTGGGCCCAGCACAGTTCCCTGAGGTACTCCCCTAGAAACCGTAGCTGGGTCACTCAGCGTTTTGCCTATTCTACACTCTTAGAAAAGACCTGGTATTTGCAATGAAAATTTAGTTCCCATAACCAATTTTATTAGTGAAAATAGGCACAACAAAAAAATATGTTGTTGGAACTAATACAAATTTGTTTTTACAGTTTGTTGTCGGAACAGCCAATATTGGTAGCTCCAACCAACAAGTTTAAGTGCATCGAAATTAGTTTATTTTTCATCCAAATAATTGATATTTAATGCAATCACATTAGTCTGTCATTTTAGCAGCGTCTAAGTTGAAACAACTGCACTTGCTATTTATCGCAACAAACATTGTATCATGCAGGAATTTATTTTTTAATTGAAATTACTTAAAAAAAGGTACATTTAAAGAATTTAATAGTTGATATAATATAAATTTGTTTTGTACTGTAACTAAGTTATATTTAATATTAAATGCTTGCATTAGTAGCAACAACAAATTGGTATTATTCCACAGTTCATACCTGCTTAGTAAATATAACACTTTTTGTGTAAATATTATAAAAAATAGAGAAAGGAAATTCATGCCCGTTCGTTTTATAAATATTTATTATAAATTAAAAAATAACAATATAACTGAAAACACCAAATTTTGGTTTAAACATTATAACAAAAATTAATAATTACTCTAAGAAAACATTTATAAATATTTTAACAATAAAACAAAAACGATTCTTTGGTAAATATACACAGATAGGTACATTAAGATGAAAGTTGACTATACTTCTTCAGTAAACCGTGATGTTTACGTGAAGTGCAAGCCTTTGTTTAACAACTTAACAATGATTCTTAGGTACAACGTAACATACTTGCATGATAACAGGGGTAAGCATTCGATAAATTTTGAGTGTGAGTGCCTATAGTATAGGCCCTATACCAAAAATGCGACTTGAGCTGTAACAAAACAAAACAAAAAAATTCTCGAAATTCCGACGTGATGGAGACTTTTGGTGGGCACTATTGGATTCAGGAGGCCATTTTCAGTCGGAATGGCATTTTCACATTTTTTGATTTTTTTTCGGACCCCAAAACTACAATAGTGTAATTAAAGGAGTGCAATAATAATACCTAACCTTTAAAAACTGGAACCAATTCAGGTAAACCCCATGTTCCTAATAAATCTGCTACTTCAGTCCGCTCATCCATATTATTTGTTCGAGATATCTATAAGTAACCAACACATAAGAATATATTCTTATATATATGAATAGTTAAAAAGTATGTCGCCACTGAATTTACCTAAAATATAACTACACACGAGCTGATACAGAAATACAAAAGAGCAAACACCACCGAAGTCTGGACGCCGTGCAACACCGTTTGTTTACAGGTTAAAAGTAAAGCACGCGCCGGGCTGGACAAATCGCGCGCGAAATGCACAAAGTTTGCAGTTGCATTAACCCACAGAGACAACATCCCCAACTGACACTTTGTTTCACACCGCTGGTGTCTTAGCTGTGTGAAAAGTGACGCATAGTTTATACAACCGAACCGTTAGTTCCACGGACTAATTTCAGTCAGTTGAGAATGTTACTTAAATATTTGGTCCAACAAAAACATTTTATTGCCGAAATGATTTTTTTGAGATAATGTTGTCAATAATTCTAGCCAACACAAAGTTTCAGTTAAAATAACTTAATCGCCTTTTTGCAGTAAATAATACTCAACAACAAAACTAAATCTTTTCAGGTAATGATGCAAGCAGTTACACATATAAAGGTACTGATTACAAAAAACAAAAATTTTTATTTTCTGCAACAGTTTTACCCCAACGATAATAAGTTAGTTACAAATACCAGGTCTTTTCTAAGAGTGTAACATATTGTATTCGTTGTAAAAGATAGTCCCTAAAAATGTCTAAAGCTGTACCCCTAACCCCAATTTTCTCCAATCTATCAAGCAGTATTGTGTGATCTACGGTGTCAAAAGCCTTAGCTAAGTCCAAGAACAATGCTAAGCACTTTTTATTACTGTCTAAGCCCTTGACAATACCCTTTAAAAATTCTAAAAGTGCATCCTCGCAGCTCATTTTTTTTCTAAAACCAAATTGACTTGAACTTATTACATTGTTACTTTCTAAGAATTCTATGAGTCGTTTTTTAATACATTGTTCAAGTAGCTTAGCAAAATGATTAATTACTGAAATGGGTCTATAGTTTGTAGCTAAGTTTTTTTTACCTGATTTATAAACGGCTGTTATAATGGAGTCTTTCATAGATTTTGGAATTATGCCTTGTGTTAGAATTAAATTAAAAATATGCAATAAGGGTGTTAAAATATAGATATGATTTTTTTTAATAATACTCACAGATACTCCATCAAAACCTCCTGCAGACTTATTTTTTAATTTAGAAATATGTTCTATAACTTCATTTTTGGACACCGGATATAAAAAAAGGGAGTTTTTGATAGCTTGAGACTTGGTTTTTATTGGTGCGGTTTTAGGTTTATTAATTTTGTTTACCATTTTGTTTCCTACATCTGCAAAAAAGTTGTTAAAATAATTAGCTTTAGATTTTTCATTCATAATTTTTTCCCCTATCTCATTAGTAATGTTATATTGCTCATTTTTATTTTTATTTTCTGTATTTGAAGCTTTTTTTATAATATCCCAAATTTTTTTATAATTTTTTTCCGCATTGCTGATTTCATTTTTATAATAATTTTTTTTTGTGGTTTTTATTAGCATATTAAGCGTATTTCGGTATCTTTTATATTCCAGACTAAGTTCCTTATTATTAGTACTATTTGACACTTTTTTTAAATAATCTCGATGTCTTATAGAACCAATAATTCCATTTGTAATCCAAGGCTTTATTTTATAATGTTTACTTCTAACTTTAATTTTTTCTGTATTTTTATTTATGTAGGATTTTAATAAGTTTATAAATTTGTTATAACTTTCTTCAGAATTATTATTATTTAAAACATTATTCCAATTTTCCGTTCTTAAATCTTCTGTTAATGATGAAAAATTAATTTTATTAAAATAGTTGGAATGAGTTTTTTCGAAATTTGTTTTTTTTAAGTTATTTATACACAAAGCTGTAATATAATGATCAGTGATATACGTTTCAAATACGTAGGGAACAATTTGAGTATTATTCTTAATATTTTTATTATATAAGCCTACAAAAAAATGATCTACACAAGTTCCCGTAGCTTTCCTTGTTATTACGTCAATATATTGAAATAATCCTTTTTCATTTAATGTATTTAAATAGGTATTAACTAAATTATCGTTATCACAGTTCAATATATCAAAATTAATATCACCAGCAAATATCTCTATGTCTAGTTTTCCCAAATTAGTAAAATATTCATCAATATCTGAAATAAATTGTTTTTCATTTGTGGATGGTGGCCTATAGCAAGCAGTAACACCATAGTTGACAGAACCTATATTACATATTAGTCTTATAACTTTAATTTGATTAAATTTTATAATACTTACATCAGCATGTAGTCTGTTATTGACATAAATTATAGTACCATCGTTTTTATTAAAATGAGACTCGCTATAGTGTAAAGTAAAATTTGGAATATGAAAATTTCTTACCTCGTTAGAGATATTAAATGTTTCCGATAGTATGATCAAATCTAGTTTTTCTACTTGTAAAACTCCAAGATATATAACTAATTCATTAAATTTTTTTTTGATTGATCTAATATTTAAGTGTACAATATTTAGTACTCTTTCCCCACTAATAGACTTACTGCCCTCTTCAATATCTGAGACTATTCTTGTTTTTGTGTCATTACCTTCAATTCCCTCAATTAAAAAATTCATATAATAACTACTCTAATTAACTAAATCTCCAGTTAAAAATCAAAATACATTTAGCCCCAATGTAATTTGACTTTGAAAGTAACAGCTCCAAAATAATTCAATAGTAAATATCTTATTAATTAAATTAGTTATTTGAGTTTCTATATGCCAATTAGGCTATAATAATTGTGCTATAGTAAAACTCACCCACAGTTGCTTTTCATGAAACCATGCATTCTTTATTTTTATTTTTCAATTAAATAAAGCTGCATCTCTATTCGACCGTATATGAAATCTTTAATCTTTAAAGTAAAAATACATAAGTTACATAATATTACTTACAACAGCAGGTAGGCACTCTATAAGCAACCAAAACAAAAATTAAAAATAACCAAATAAACGAACATTATACAAACCAAAATTATTCATTAATACATTATCTACTATTCAATTTCACTCTCTGTATTTATAATTGTTTTGATGCCATTTTTAATCACAAAAATTTTGCCATTTAGTGTCCAAGTCGAATTTTTATAAATGTTTTTCACCAGTTTAAAAAGTTTTAGTGTTTTCACTGTTAATATTTCTGTAAACATAATTTTTGTCCCTTTTAATAGTTTTTTATTGAAAAATATTTCGTCACGAATCCAACGATTACAAAAACTCACAACAATTGGCCTTGGATTTTTTGCGTTCGAAACCTTCTTGCCTATTCTATAGCAATAATTTACATGAAATTTATTGATTTTCATATTTAATTTTTGATCAAAAATGTTTGTCAGAGATTCAATCAAATCCTCATCTTTATTCTCAGGGATACCATGCACCAAAAATGAGTTTTTATTGCTTTCTGCCTCCATCTCCTCTTTAATAGATAAAATATCATTTTTTAACTGACTAAGCTGGTTAAGAGTTTTTGCTTCAAAAGTCTGAAACGCACTTATTCGATTTTCACTATTTTCAGCAGGATTTTCCGTTAATTTTTCTTTCAACGACTCCAAATCTCTCTTGAATTGTAACTCCATGGCGGCCATGCGATTATCCAATTCTTTTATAGTAGTATTTTTTGACATAGTCGTAGAATTGCAGACTTTCTTTTTACAAAATAGTAAAGTAGACACAGGATTTTACTGGTTCACAAAACTTTAGACTTTATTTACTTAATTATCACAAGGTTTTAACGTTTTTTCAGGAGCTGCACTTAAATGCATTACATTGCGGCGCACGCCATCTAACTCTATGATTACTGGAGATTACCTAGGTACCTAATTTCCATCTTAAAATATTTTTTAGTCGCTAAACATTCAAAACGTGGAATGCTTTTTTATAGTTCAGTTGCCCAATGGGTCATGCAAAGTACTATTATGTCTCGCAAAGTACTATTATGTCTCGCAAAGTTCATTTTGGCGTATTTTGTTTTACGAGTATGTGGGCGTGCAATAATCTCTTTTGACGCGCGATATTTTTTTGGCGTACAATACTTTATTTTGGCGTGCAATAATTCATTTTACATTGAAATTGATTTATTTATCGTGAAAAAATTTGTTTGGTGGGGGACATATTTTTCTGTCATCGAAATGACCAATTTTGTCTTTAACACACCCTTTTGTGGGGCCGATAAATCACACCCATTAAAATTCGTGACTGAAAATGGCGTTTTTTAAACTTGAAACATAATACACTATTTATATTATTTGCTGTTATTAATCTTAAAATTTATGGTTGTTAAATAAAATGTATTTTATAAAAATACTATGCTTTATAATCATAATTTTGATTATACTTTATTAGATTTAATACCCTGAGATTCTAAATATCTAAGATTTCACTCTGACTTATTTAATAGTTATTAGTGGCTGCTTTTTCACTTGTACCATGGTTAACTATGGAATACCATGGTATCACAAAATTTAACAGCCAATTCTTATGTAAAATTGACTCTTGAATCCGAAAATACCATCAACAATTATAAAAGTGGAGCAGTTTTTGAGATATAGTCAATTAGGTTTGTACATAATAAATGCAAAATTGAATATATCTCAAAAACTGTTCTACTTTTTTAACTTTTGACGACATTTTCGGATTCAGGGGACAATTGTACATAAGAATTGGCTGTTAAATTTTGGGATACCATGGTATCCCATGGTTTACCATGGTACAAGTGAAAAATCAGTATTAAATTAGCACTATTAAATTAGTCATTTTTGACTAATTCATTTTTAGAGAGCATGTTATTAAATATAATCAATAAGGCATTTTTTGTGCTATACCTGTTGGTTAAACCAGTATATTTTTGCCGATACTGATTCAATATTATTAAAAATTTTACAGAATCTTGTTTATTAATATATTAATATACTTATTAAACTTCTTTTTAAAATTTACTAATAATATTTTAAATAGTTTTAACAATAATTTAATTGTAATTAAAAAAAATATTTTTACAATATTTTTTTATTTAAATTAGCCGCTAACGATCCAATTCAAATAAAATTTGGACTAAATCAATATTTAAAATATAAAATTTGTTTATTAAATTATTTTTTAAAATCTATATTAATATTTTAAATAATTATAATAATAATACTAGGTTTGTTACATTAAAATAGATCATACCTACCTACCTATACTTTTAAGACAGTGTCATTTTAAATTTTATTAATTCAAAAAATAAAGATGCATTCTATAAATAAAAAAAACTTTATTGAGAGTTTAATCAGGAACATTTTGGCATACATTTGTCTATTGCACTATCGGCTATTGCAGAAACTCAATAACTGTTTACCATGGGTGAACAGAAACAGCTGGAGCAGCAGCGTAGGTAGAGATGAGTGGAGCAGAGTGTACAAGTGGAGCAGAATGGATGAGTGAAGCAGAGTGTACGACTGGTGCAGCCACAATTGGAGCGGAGTAGGCGGAGTAGGCGACTGGAGCATGGCTGTGTACGATGGATGAGCTGCTGTGGCTGATGGAGGTTGGTACGGATCCCACGATGGCGGAGCTGTATACAGCTGGGGCGGCCAAGTACCCTGGACGAGCGGCGGCAATAGCCAAGAGAGCGGACAACACCACCAATTTAAACATTTTGATTGAAATAGGTCTGTGTTGTACTGTAGACGAACTAAGACTGATAATTCGCTAAGATTTCAGCGATGTTTTTATAGTCGAGCTTTTCGTACACCATGCCTTTGTTTCGGCGTACGTATGTAATTCGAGAGATCCTCATGAAAAAATCGTCCTTGGAAGGCCTGACGTTGGTAATAGTACCTGAATATTTGATAAATCATGGGTGTAAGATAATCAAGCACAATTTTTATATTGTAACTTTTTTTATGAGCCATTTATATGTTAATTAACTAAACTCGCGGGTACATAGAGTTCGGTATACTTTCGTCACGTCTATTTAAAAACACACCAGGATTTATTTTTTGTTGTTATGTTGTTGTGTTTTTCTTATTTTAACTATAAACCATTAATTATAAAGTTTAAATTAATTAATTTATTCTAAATTAAAACTTAATCTAACTGGATATTATCTACATGTACCTATATCCAGTTAGGTTCCAATAATTTTTTTTATTCAACGTATTTTCTAAAAACAAATTTACTTAGTCTGCATCTGCAAATTTCTAGCTACAGTAATAAATTTTGTAATTGGTTTAAATCTATAGAATTATACATGAATCATGTTAAACATGATGTGGATTTAAACTAATTACAAAATGTATTATTTTAGCCAACAACTTGCATATGTTATGACATTTTTACACAAATACGCATTTTGATCCAATTACATAAATTTATTTTAAAAATTTAAAATGACAATTACACATAACAAGGTACAAAAACACTTTCCCTTTGGAAATTAAACGTTTTAACATAATATTTCTGCAACAAGGACTATCCTTACTTAATTGGCTTATTTATATATGTTACATTTATAATTTCTAGTTAATATTGTATACTTTAACAAAAATATAACAATAATTATTAAACACCAAAAACATACCTATGTTTAAAAAATATACAGGGTGTCAATTTTAGTGGCAGCACTTTCTTATCGAATGCACAAAGTCCTTTTAAGTAAAAAAGTTCCTATGATGGTGTTCTTTTCTGACAAAGGGTTTAAAGTTGGGTATAATACATTTTTCCTTTAATATATTTTGAGATTATTTAAATTATTTTGTTTTTTTATATTTCTTTTATATATTTTACATTACTTCCAGTTTATTTAGTATTTATGTATACTAACAAAACTTTTTTTACGTAATCCGCTTGTTAAATTTAAATTAAATTCCTTGGTCTATTAAAACATTTTTGTGTTTATATATTGCATGTCATTTTGTTTAACTAAACTTAATTACAGCAATCATTTGTAGGGGAACATTTGAAAATTAAATTAATTAAAAGTTAAATTGGATCAGTTGTACGCTAAAAATAGTAAGGTTTTATTTAAAATTGTCTTGTTTTTATCATTGACATGTTATTGGATTTAACTACATTATAAAGGCTTGGTTAATAAAAAAAACATTCTAAAATTTTAGGAATTTTTTAAAATGATCCGAGTATAAAATTGGTCTTAGTTTTCTTAATAACTTTTAATAAAAAGATTTAAAAAAAACTGTGTTTAACTTAGAACTAATAATGAGCGTAGACAATAAATCAATAAACAATTTTTTTTTACTCCATTTCATTAATATTATCTCCGCCTATCTCTTCGGAGAAATTGACAGACATTCATATTAAATTAATGTTTTTTAATTTTCCTTAAAAAATAAATGATATTTCGAGGAGAAGGAATTTTTGTACTTCGTTCAATTGCTTTGCCTCGGCACAAAGCGCTTAGGCTGCAATTTTTTGAGCTCAGAGCTCAGACTTTTCCTCGAGCTTCTCCACCTAATAACATAATCTACCATTATAGATAAATAAATGTAATTGCTATATAAAATTTAAACAAGGGCGAACAAAAATAAGTTTTTTTTATGTAAAATCATTGATATACTACATGACCGGGAAAAATAATCACACGGTATAATATTAAAAACAAAAATACTTTAAATAATAGATTTATTGGATAGCTGCAAATACAATTTAAAAAGTTTTTTAATTTTAATAGTATATTATGTATCAAGTTTTAAACGCCATTTTAGTTGCAAGTTTAATTAAGCACAAGCAAAGCTTGCGAGCGAGTGTTTAATAAAACCGAGTGTCTAGAGAAGTTTATAAACGAGTTGCATACTATACTTTATCTACGACGAACACAAAACCGAATTTAAAGCCAATTTTATTTGTTAAAAAATTGATATCTGTCAACTGTCACCCTAATTTAACCTCCCTTTTTCCTAATTTATAAAAAGCTAACTTCAGACCGTGATTAAAAAGCTTAAAAGCCACTGTTTCTAACTTTAGCCCGTGACTATAACAATAAAGTCACAGCTCGTCAATTTAGAAGATATTAAAGAAAATCTTTAAAAATATTATTTTGACTTCATACACAGAAAAAACGCTAACATAGCATGAATGGGTGAGACATTAAACCAATGGGATCTTGTAATCCGTATTCCTGAATAACAGTTCCTATAATACCAATAGGTAGTTAGCACTTGGTTTGTAATCGTTTACTGTTTTTAAATTAACAACAAAAGTTATCACTCCTAAATCTACTGATATTTATATTGATATTTATTTGTTAGAATGGTAGAATGTTATTGCATTAAATACTAATTTGATTTATTTAATAACGTTACTATTTATGTATACTATATATATATACATTTAACGCAATAAATTCTTTGACATTTAGGCAAAATATTTCCCTATTTTGGTTTAATAGTAATTAATTGAGCAAATAACAATTTAGATTGCTTCAATTTTAAAGCATTCAATGACAGCGCTGTTCTTGGTACTATAGTATCTATCTAACATATATGTTAGATTTTTTTTCTGTGTAAAAACGTTTTAATAAATTTCTACACCCTGCTACTAAAACCCTGTATAATTGAATATTAATTAATATTAGTGAATTTAATTTACAATGTAAAAAAATAACATATTCACTAATAGTTTATTAATAATATAATACAGTTATTACTTAGCTATGTATTTCAAGTTCAAGGTTATGATCAGTAAAAGTAAAAGGTTATTGACAGAGGATTCTTTATTTATTTTTATAAGCTTGTTATCTAATATTGTAAGCAGCTGTATACAATAAATCAATAACAATGATTTATTGGTGCATTAGTATAAGATATCGAATAAAACAAAAAAAGGATGCCCAATAAAACGATAAAACAGCAATAAATATAATTTGGCTATTTAATATAATTGAAGTATTAAATTGAAATTTACCTAAAAATGTATTTTATAAAAAAACGACAAAGTTCCTAGAGATTAGAATTTAAAATGTACCTGAACATGAACATGAAGATGAACATAAGGGCAAGGGCAGCCGATACACACCTTTCGATTTTTTTCCGCACCCAACAAATGTACAGCTTTCTCCTGTGTGTGCTATATGCGGATGTCCACCATAGTTTGTACGGCACCCTTTTTGGGGTTCGCAAGCGATATGCTGATGGTTATAGTGACCAGAGTTGCGTCTGGCTGGACTAAACGCCTAAAGGGCTAGAGGAGCTGAGACCTTTTAGTTTTCAGGGGAAAATAACGCCGACCCAAACCTAGGTACGACGTGAAATCCCTCTAATGGAAGTGGCTTTTTTGGTGGAAATTGCTTATTTTATGGTCTGTTTGTTGTATATGACAATTGTTTATTTTGTTTGATTTGATTTGAACGTGCTTAAGTGAAAAATACTTTGGTTTAAGTTTTGCCCTTCCTCAAGTTAACTGTTTTTGTTGCTATTTTTTTTTATTTTAATTTTTTAATGTTGCAAATTTAATTTCGGTCAATGTACTAATCTGTTTTCTATAGATGTCTCCTGGATCCTAGTCCAACTCTTGCTTTGCCTTCTTGTTCTTCTGGTATGCTTCTCGCTGGCAGGTGGACCAGCCAGGTATGGGGTATTTTTTTTAAGTGATATGAAAGCGCTCTGGCTAACGTTTGCCTATACAAGTTCAAGCGATAAAAATCTAAAATTTACCTAAATAAAAAATAAATATAGGTGTGATTTTTTGGCCCGACAGAAAGGGTGTTAATTGGGATATTTCGACGACAGAAAATATGTATAGCGACCAAACAAATTGTTTTACGATAAATAAATAAATTTCAATAAAAAATATATTATTGCACGACAAAATAGAGTATTTTACGCCAAAATAAAGAGAGTATTGTAGGCCAAAATACACAGGACATATGAGCATTGCGCCACAATATAGTACTTTGACTACCCATTGCGTCACCTGAGTATTGATTTGTTCTATGTCCAATATGTTATAATCGAGATAAACGGGTTTGAAACTTTTACATTAAATATCTTATTTGTTTTTTAATGAAAACTGAATTAAACTTTTATAACAATATTCTTGGTTAGCCTTTAATTAGTTCTATTGAGCAACTCTTATCTCAAATTTGGATTTATGCCTCAATATTGGAAAAAACGTTTTGGAGATAAAACAAAAAGTGCTATTTTTGAATTTTAGAAACAAAATGTTGGACATATAACAAAGTTTTAGGACATAAAACAAAACTGAATTAAAAAACACTTTATTTAATAATGATTTACTTTAATAATAATAATTATAATTATTGTCAAAATACAATGTCATATACATGTAAATAGGTGAAAAAACGTGTACTGGCTAAAGTGGATATAGAACAAAACAATTTTATACTTATAAGGAAGCTTTACTTGGAGATAGCACAAAACAGTAATAAAATATTTTTTCCATATGGATATAGCACAAACAAATACTAATTATTTTCAGATTTGTACAAACACATAGAGCAAAAGAAAGCCTGTAAGCGAAATATTGGAGATAGAGTAAACCAATTTTAAACCTTTTATACAAAACTCGGATTTAGACTAACCTAAAATAAAAACTGACATAATTATATCAAAATACTATTATGGAGATGGAAAAAACCAACTTCAACTTTCCGAAAATGCATAAACCTCAAAATGGTAAAAAATGGAGATAGCACAAACCAATACTCAGGTGACGA